GAGACAGGTTCAAACATGCCGGTGAATGCCCAAGGTACGGCTCAAGGCCTCCGAAATCGATTTTTCGAACGTGAGAAGATCTGCGTTCTTTCCTTTTCTTTCCGCGGCTGATGTCGTCTTATCGCGACGCTGTAATTAGCGTCGACCTTGATATTTTAGTGCGAATTTACGCACATACTTTTCCCCGTTTTCGCCGAACGCGACTCGCCAGGAGACACGAACTATTTCATTTATCTCAATCATGCATGCAAAAAACGATGTAATAATTAGTATAATCACGCGATCGTTAAATATCTAAGGCATCGTGCAACTAACTTCCTTTTTTTTATCTATCTTGTAGAAATAGGAAATGAAAGTAAACTGACAAGAATCTGCTCTGTAAAATCTATTTAATTTTCTAGATCACGCGAATTAATGTATCGTTTTCTAAACTGGATTTAAATTTTTAAATTATACAAATCTTAAGAAGTTAATTTGTCATCATTTCGTATTTTCTAAATTTTATCATTTTCAACGAAATATTTATGCCAATCTTAAAGAAATTCATTAAAATTGATCGCAAAATTTTAACATATTTAACATTTAGATCACTTTCTCTATGAGAAAGTAAAAAAAGAATATTTTGGGAATAGAAATTAAATTTCACACAATAGATATACAATCACTTGTCAATTTCTCTCAATTCACCTATTTCTTAGAATATACGCGCGCTTTCATCAATCAGAACGTCCCCGATGATTATACCGATCCGTCGTAGGCAAAGTCGGACAACCATAATCGTTCCGTGGTTAAGGATCTTCGTTGCTTAGCGTTTCTATCTCACTTCGCTTTTCGCGGCACGTCCGTCACGTTTCCTTCCTCTCTTCTTCCAATCGCAGGTGCGTTTATTATCGCCGCTCTTCAATCACGCGCCGCGCGAAATCTCACTCGCGCGCGCACTCGCACCGCTCGCTCGCGACTGAATCGTCTACAGGCGACACGCGGCACGTAGCGTCGTCACCGTCGTCGTCGCCCGTCCTCGTCCACCTGTGCACGGTGTATACGACCTATGGCTTCCTCATAGTGGGGAGTCGGTCGCTTTTGCGAGAGAACGCGCGTCTATCACGAAATCGCGCGCCGCGCTGTCGGATCAGGTCCCGCTCTGTGGGACCATGGCGGCCCGCATTCTCGAGGCGCGCGTTTAACGCTAATTGCGGTCGCTTAGGTCTCGAAATTAGGTTCACGATAATTTGTAATCTTTCTGCGGTTTAGATTAATTTCAACAGGCCGAGTTTAAAACTCTGGCATATTACGGACGGGGAAACACTTGGCCAAAGATATTTATAATATCTGTAATTAAAAGACAAAACAATTTTACTTTTTAATTTTTTAATAAGGCTTAAGATTAAAAAGTATCGAAGAAATGTTGAATTTATTCATCGTGCGATATATAAATGAACGGTGCAAGACTCACAGTCGTTCTTATCAGCTTTAATTCATGAAAGACGTAGTACGCTCGCGTAATCGCACAAACATTTATCAATAGAGTTAATCATCTGTTAAAGAGCACTCCTTCACGTCGTATCGAAATATTAATCTTTATATGATAAATGATTTTACATTTTGCGCACTTTGTTTCTAGCTTCCGTGGAAAATTTATTAGTCAAACCAGTTTATTTCCTTCTATAAGAATTATGGACTCGTACAAAATTATGGATTATTATATGTTAAAAGAATATATATTATTATTTCTTTTTAATCTGGGATTATTATATAATTGCAGTTTATAAAGTCTTATAAAACTAGATATCTATGTTAGAAATTTTTATTATTTGCATTTTCACAACTTTCTTCATTCTAATAAAGCGTCTGTGATAAATGTCTGTTATTGCCACGCATACCGCGCGAGCTTAAGTCCGAGAAGCCACACGACTTATCTAGCAAGAGAATTGGAGCGACGTGTGCAATACCGCCGGTCGTTCGTGCTAGTCGCGTTATGGTCTTGTCTAAGGCGCAATGTCGTATGCACGTGCGGTTCTGTGCCTATGGTTCAGTTATGCGAACAGCGAGTTTTTATTTGTCTTCCAGGTGGAACCAAAAGAGTCGTTCGTTCGCGCGAAAAGCAAAAGTAGCTCGGGTTACGCGAGGTCCGATCTCATTTCTCGGAACAAGTTTGGTACGAGTTCCCAATTACGACAGGATATTCGCGACATTTTAATTCCATAAATTTCGCGACGCTAGCAACCGGCACAATTAATCGATCGTAACAACGTAAATGCCATTTCGGCTCGCGGAAGGGTCGTGGAATTCATTTTTATTATTTGCGAATGTGTGATAGATTAAGTTGATTTCGAGTCGATTTTGTCTCAAGTATAGATACACTCGATAAAACTTTTGACTGCTTAATGAATAAAAATGAAAAAATTTTTCAAATGTGTCTTATACAGCTCGTAAAATATATATATTTACATGAACATATTTGAATAAGTAAAATATGTTTGAATAAGAAAATGTGTAATCATGTTTTTGCCGATATGCTATTTATATATTCTTGAAGCGCGTCGGACACGTAGGCGATTATCACTTGAAAAGCATCATAATTATTCGCCATTTCCTTCGTGATTTCCTTCAACCGACGGATCGACTAATCAGAAATCTATCCTTCGAGCAAGAAATTGCGATGATTCATTCGTCGGAAAAAGGAACGAGATGCATTTGCTGCGATGCGTTTTAAATTACACGTCATTTCCGTGACAATCGAGTTGTTGTCACAAAACATCTTCGATCAATAAATGAATTAATCAAACTGAACATCTCGAGATTCCTCGCTTCATGATTAATTATATCTTTAAAACGTCTTTGAACGTCGGAAAACTTTAATTTTTAATATTTACTTTCTCTAAAATTTTACTATGATAATCATTTGAATTATCAAAAATTTGCAATTTGATATTAAACAGCCTGTCCTTACTAGAGCTAATGTGCACACTTTTGCTTTGAGTTTTCGAATCTACAACAGAAACATTTACATTTATCTTCGAGGTGCCAAGCCGTTGAGGTTTAAGTTTCAACTTTCGCCATTGGGAATCCGTCGCTAAATGCCGATCAGCTTTCAGGTCTACTTTTTGAGCCGTTCAACTTTTCCTTTCTTCAACGCCCATAACATGCTATTGCCAGTAATGAAAGGCTGATCACGCGAGGGTACTTAAAGTACTTTTATGATCTAACTAACTGAGGAAAAGTTCTTTCTTTTACTGCATTCTACAATAATTTAAATTTAAAAAATAAAAAAAAAATTGTCCGGATACAATTTGGTTGATTAATCAAAGACGTCAGTATGGAGGACACATTTGACATGAAGCGTTTTTAATCACTCTTCTAATCACAATATCGGTCATTCGATTTTGGAGTGCTCCTCGAATTTGTAACCCATTTTCGCAGCGGTAGACAGGCTGTCTGGATTTTCGTACTTAACGGGATCGGTTAGACGTGGGAAGGTAAAATTGTGCGGGTCGAGCTAAGTAAGAAGGCTATACGACAATTACGAACGCGCTCTCTGTGTCTTTTACGTAATGGCGTCATCAAGATGTCGCAGGCGCAGGTATAATAATAAAAGTGCCTGGAGAATGACAACCGGTGAAGTGGAGTCGGAATGCATTGTTTTCGTCGTGATTATCGCGATAGTTAAGTAGTTAAGAAAAGTATGAGAACAACCATTCCAGCAGGTTTCATGAGGTACTTACCTATTTCTTTTTAGTATCGATGTCTGCATTCAAGAGAATGGAATTATATAAGTACATATTTTTTTATGCATGCTATATCCACAAATTGTAAATTGATAGAATACAATTGTGCATTAAAAACACATACACTTATTATACATAAGAAACACGAGAACGCACCTATAATTATATAATTATGAATATAATAATTAACCCGAATAATTATATAATTTAAGAGAATCAAGAGAATATCTGGATAATTATATCAAGAGAATATCTGGATAATTTGAGCTATTTTTTGCATTTGATGTGTGTGTGTGTTATAATTTATAAATGTAGACATGCACGTGCAGCAATGTCAAAAAATATGTACTTGTGTATTTTGAATAGATGTCGGGATATATAAGCACCTCACAAAAAACGCCGGGGGCGTATTGGTCGTTTATAGATTTCTCAAGCTGATGTAGTTAATAACTGCATCCAGTTATTAACTGATATATGCGTCATCAAAGCGAGGGGAGACTGAATGTAAATTTTAAGACCTAAAGGAAATTATATTTGTTATATACGTGCTTCTTCGTTCTTGTCGCGTTAAAATTTTACGGTTGCTATTTCTTCGATCTAGTTGTATTCAGTATTTGCTCACAACCAGTGAAATTATGGAGATATTCATATTTTTTTGTTGGTTTTCACATTATGCCATTAAAAAGTGACGTTGTATTTAGTTTCGTTCTCCCAGTCAACAATTTAGTTATGAAAACTTTTTTTACTTTAAAAATAGCGATTTTTGCAGTATGTAAAATTATATGACACGAATTATATTTATTTATTCACATTCTCAAGCTTTTGCTGTCTTATAAACTGCATTTACACATAGAATTTAATAACAATAGTGAAATATTATCGAGTATAAAAATGGTTTTGTTCTGAAAGAACACCTCTACAAACGCGTTATATATTTATGGATATGTCGCGAGTAATTACAATTGCGCGACATTTATCGAATTTTTCCAACAGTAAAGAGTAAAATCAAATTCCGGATATGACAATGCTATAAACTCGAAACATAAAAATTTAGGTCACGATGCTTATTCACAGACACATTGCAAGAATATTTCGATATTCTGCGAGATCAATTATAATAATGTGAAAATAATTTCAGATATGGAAAGCAGCAATTATTTCGCGTCATTTAATTTTGCAGGACTAAAAGCTTCAAAAATTCAAATAATAGAGAAAGAAACTAACATGATTAAAAGAGTATTTATCAAGCTAAATAGCTGTGAGTAAAATACTTACTTATAAGAGATGCTTCCAGGCACGCAATTAACCGAGTTAAAGCGGCAATCAGTGGCGGACGGTGCTCTTCCAAAAATTTATCGTCTGTGAATGATAATATTATATTAATTAAAATTTTATTATTTGCAGCATATTTTTTTTGAATATTGAAAATTTTAAATCGTATAATTAATCAATTGCATATTTCAACTATTAAATTTTTAAGTTTTTTATATTTTGCAAAAATCCTATCTCGATTATTTTATTCATAAACTTAATTGTTAATTATTGATATGAAACACTTACATTTGGCGTCGTTGTACAATCGATCGATTGGTGTGTCATCCACGCTATCAATGAGACCCTCGACTATCTTTTCAACGAAATTTTGAACCGCGTGCACCATGTATTTCTCTTCCCGATCTTCTTGAATTTGTTCCATATTCGGGACTGCGACTGCATGTCCTGGAAAATTGTCCATGTTTAGTAATCAATGTAGAGATTTTATTTCGAATGTAGATAGTGCTTTTTGTTATCATCTTTTTTAAAAAATCGAAACCGATTAAGAATGAAAATGTCAGAGCAAAGAAATACCTATCAAAGAAGTATCACAGCGTTATCAAATGTACGCAAATTTAATTGATCGTTAACAGAGAAGTTTACGTTATAAAATCACGAATGTCACGTAGTTTGAAAAAGCGTGTCTTCGGTGTTTAATTGAAGTATCACATATCACTATCTTGCACGTTCGCCGGTGTCGCGAAACTATTCGAAGCTGTACATTATCGCTGCCACTGCATCTCCTCAAATCGCACGACTTGTCGGCACGTCTGTCGCGAGACGAAGAAAAGTCGCTTTCTAAATCCTGGACCATATACCTCTGCGTCCGTTAGGTCGCTCTTTCCCGATCGTGCGCCTGATACGATTCACGTGACGGATCGCGCGGCGCGCACCAAACAATGAGCATCGTCGTGAGAGACTTCGAGCCGTTCTTACTGTTTAGTCTCCTTCCGTTACGCGACTCTTCTACTTCGCAATAAGGACGGACGTTTGCCGATGAAGCAGCACGCGTGATATGCAAAACCGCAAAAAGTAAGTTAAAACATATCAAAAATGTTGAAAGCATTGAGGCATGAATTCTATCAAAAGTGCGATGAATGAAATGTTATCTCGAAATATCATTTTTCCGAAACGTTTTGGACATGTAAAGATTTAAAGAGAACAATGCCGCTTGTATTTAAATGAAAAAAAGAGAAGTGAAGTGGGAAATTTTCGTGCAAAATATATTTAACACTTTTGTACAGGTTTTGCATATTGTTCTACCTGCAACATAGACTCGTGATTTGGCGGTACCGAAGACGCTGTGCACTTCCTCCTCTTCATTCGCCGCGTTCCCGAAAATATCGAACCATTTCTCATTCCTTCTCACCCACAATCTGCGAAAGCATAAGTAATTATTTACAAATAGAATTTTATTAAAAAAAGAGAATAATAAAATTTAGAAAAACCAGATAATTTATGAATGGTTTTAATATTGCACGTTTAACATTAGGACTTTCTTTTTTAAATAAAGACTTTAAAGTCTTTATTTTAAAGTCTTTACTTTAAAGTCTCGAAAGAATTATAGTATTGAGCGAATATGAACAAATATTGTCTTGCGGACCTTTGTTGATAACAGAATATGCAATGCCAGGCATTATCAGACGTGTCCCAACGTGAACAGGCTTTTTTGCAAGATTTTGCGCCGCAATCGTTGCAACGCACACCACGGCTGACTAGAAACGGTGCTAGGCAACAGGCGCAACGTCCGTCATCGATCTCTCGTTTCGTTTCCTCCAGTTTTGAATTTTTCCTGAAATTTTATTTCAACTTGAATTTCTATATCAAAAAGAGAACATCAAAGAGAAATTTGAAAAAAGAGAATAGAACATAGGATACGTAAATAATAAATATGAATGGATTCTTAAATTATTTAATTATTTATTTTAATCAAAAAGTTATTTTTGTGAAAACTTTGACTCTGATAATATTTTTAATTGTAAAAATTATCAGAACCATTTAATTTAGTATTAGTTAATATTAATTTGATATATTTATTTGATTGATCTTTTAATTTGCTCTGATAATTAATTCGAGTTACAAGGTTTTGTGCGTCTAAAAATGAATAAGACATAAACTTTGAAGAATATATTTATTTGAGGAATATTAATTATAAAATTAATAGGAAAATATTTTCTCTTGTTTGAATATTTATTTTTATTGCTGAGTGCTAAAACAATCTAATACAAAAATGTTTCCAAATGACGAAGTAAGCGACTCGTGAGCGAATCCATGATTAATTTTTGCTATAAATATATTTATACAACCATCTTCTGCATAGCATAATGGAAAATATAATCAAAATTTATGATTTACATTTTGAAAAGTGGTAAAATAATAATAAAAAATATCGAGAAATAAATACGTAGCACGTAGTAGTACTGAAATTTTGCATATTATGAATACTCAATCGACTTCAACTATACATTCTAGGACACGGTCATTACATATTTACAACGTCGTAACGGTATGAAATAACTGCATATATTGCATATACGCATAAACTACAATGTGCATTTACTGTACAGGATGAATCACTAAAGATATGACTCTTATTCTTTCAAATAATTTTAGTTTAAATTTTATAATACGTAATATTATCAAATTGTTATGTTCTGTAAATAATTTGATAATGTAAAAAGTGGACAATACATAAAACCTATCTGAATCGAACAAAAAAATACAATTTTCCGTTTACACATTTTTATACAATGACGAAAACCTATATTTAAAAGATATCAATATTCGTCGATTTGTTTGTTAAAAAAAAAATGCGTGTCACGCCGGTTAAAAAAGTTGTTAACAATTGAGGACATCCTGTACATAAAAATGGCTATACGAGGAATCTAGAGTAGATCTATAATCGCACGAGCCATGATATGAAAGAGAATGTAATAGAAAGTACTTATAAGTAGATGCGGGAGCAGCTTTATGTCGTAATAAAGCGTTTTTCTGCTCGTTTTTCTCGGTTATCACATACATTTAATTAAAAATTTGTTTGGAAAGTGGCAGAAGTAAAAAATATGAATACCGTAAATCAATATCTGTGTCATTCTTTTTTTTACTTTAAAGCCGCTAAGTAACAATATGCCAGTTCCGAAAGGTTATCAGAAATTTCCGTGATTATTTAAAGTGCGTAACATAATTTTATTTTTATAAGTGATTGAATATTGGAGCACAAAAAGTATTTGAAATAGAAAATATTTTTTATGCATGCAATATATATATATGGAACGTTACATTAAAATACACAAAAATTTTCAAGTGCACACTTGTGAAACAATCGATATAAATCACCATTATTACTAATTTGCTAACGATTTGTGCCTAATTGTCGTAACAATTGAAAATATCATTGGGATTTATTGAAAATCTGCGGTGTGATTTTATTTTCTTCTAAAAAATAATTGTATTTAAATATAAAAATTATGCTAAAAAAAATATTTTTCATACAAAATGTTACGCCAGACAACAAAACCTTTCACTTATGCCACTTTCGAAACAATTGATTAAAATTATTATTAAGGCGTGAAATCTTCGCGATCGAAGAACGCTGCGGCCGCGCTCAAAGGCGAGTGACTGTCCTCCTCCCGTTCCATATCGGTGGTGACCACTTTAACCACCACGACTTCGATGGTGATTAGGAGGAAGAGTACCATAAAGGTCGCCATGTTATACTTTTCTTGACCGGGCACGACCTTGTCACTCTCGATTAGGAGTGCCGAGATGAAGCTGGAGACGTAGGTCAGCATGTTGTTTGGAGAACGCACGTGTTCTTCGCACTTAAGCAGTAAGAGAGAAAAACAACGCTTGTTTTTCGTTTTCCGGTTAAGAATTATTCGTCCTTTTCTATAGGTAACAATTTTTATCGAAGTAAAAGAGGACTGTAAAATCAATTACGATGAATTCCAATCAACGTTGATTCAAGTGCGCGATTTTACACTAACTTTGAATAAATATTCCTCGTTCTTTCGTAAATTACAACGCAATTATAAAAACACAGATTTTACAATTAATTATAACGATTCAAATCAACGTTAATTCTCACAAGTTCCTCATTTTTTTTTCAATTCATGGCACTAATTGTAATATGAATGCGAAAACAAGATTTCATAGTTCTTCGCGATTATTTCCGGCCGACATTGGCTTGAATGCTTCCGGTGATTCCGCTGCTTGACCATCCTTCGTCCTGTGAAAATTGGAAGTATCTAGATACAATTTGCGCAGATCTTGCGAATTAATCACAACTTGACACGCGAAAGTTCTTTTGCGTCCTACGAACCTAATCCCTCATTTGCGCTGACGAACGCGGTGATTCGACGATTCCACATATGGTCGCGATCCTCGCTTTCCCCGGCGACTTTGTCGGTTCGTATCGGCGTTCCGATCTTCCACATACGCGATCCGCGACGATCGAACGTTCCTCGTGGCGTCCCACGCAGCAACACTCGCCGCGCACTCGTGCTCCAATTTTGCCAGTTACGCGACCGTAAACGTGGCTTTCGTAAACGTGCGATTGGCAGTTATGTAACTGTGCGCGACACAACGATTACAGTCGTTTTTAATCCGTGTTTTTTTTTTTTTCGACGTGCGTGACTATGTCGTAAACACAGCTGTTATCGAGCGACGTCAACCATGAATTTTGGTGAAAATTATACAAACGCGAAGATTACTGCAATTAATTTCAACTTGATGCATTCAAGTTCTTTTCATCTTTGAAGTCCGAAATCCTTACTAGAAGTAACTTGGCTGGCAATCGACTATGCAATCCGGGACGAGTTTTCTTCGTTTCTTCCTCGATTTATTTTATTGTTCGTTATTTTAAATCATTTTTTCTCTTCGTTTCATTTCTGACGCGTTCATGGCAATTAAACGCATTTACTTCGATTTCTTCGTGCAATATTTTTAATTAGGTCGTTTCGATGTTTCTCTTCCTTCTCTATGTTTTCGCCTTTATTCGATCAATCTTGGCTATATCTCCTCTTGTTAATCCTTGCAATTATCTCTGACGTTTGATCCTCTCTGAGGTTAGTTAACTTCACTTTGCCCCGTTATCCTTTTTAATCTTTTCTCGGATGACTTTGTTAATTAAACCTCTCGACTTTTTCTTGCTTTCGCTTTGATCAATCTTGTCTCTATTGTCACTTGTCCTAGATTCTGACTTTCTCAGACTTCACAATTTCTTCTTCTGTTTATTCCTCGTATTTCGTCTTATTCAGGCGGTTCTTTTGATCAGTTTTCTTTACTGCATTTTTTTTATCATAATTCATATCGTAGTACTCTCACAATATATCAAATCCTGTTCTCGCTGTTTCTCACGCTTTGATCGACTCAGATAATCAAATTTTGATCAAATTACTTCGATCTCTCACGATCTTTTTTTTTTTGTTCTATTGATTTTATATCTTCATCGTGCATCCGTCAATTTATAATCATCTTCTCTGACGAAGCCGTAGATTCTTTTTCTTTAGCTTTTCACTTTTTTGGATCGCTCCTCACCTCGTTTACCTTGGACGATCTTTTAGATCTGACGCTTAGAACCTGTTCCTTTTTTTGTTTTAATCCTTTCTCACTATTTTGACTCGAGACGCTTATAACCCGATGACATTTTAATTCTGCGAAGTTTCAATATTGTTCCCTCAACTTCTTCGAAATTACTGTAGCTGAATTCCTTCTGTATTATATCTTTTTTACGCTTTGTTTTATTTTATTTTATTTTTTTTACTCCGCTCTTCTCAAATCCTCGTCTTCTTTTCGATTTTTTTTTTTGTTACGAACACAAACGCTGCTCAACACATTCTGGTCCGGTCTGTTTAGTCCGATATTTTAGCACTATGCTAAATATACTGCTCTAATTTTTAGCAGTATAATATAAGAACTGTCTTATACTTTTTTTTAGAATTTCTGTAAAAAGTAATTTCACTCGCGATGATGTTGACGGAAGTGCTAGTTCGGCCCGCGGTTTGGCCGCAGTATGTTAATTCGATTGGTGTGTCATTTCTGTGGACCACTCGCGTTACAGAACCGGCGCGATCGTACCTTCGTACCGGACTGTCGGCTCGAAAGTGACAGTGAACCGACGGTGGTCGGGGAAATTTAGAATCGCATGGCTGTACGCGCCGGGTTTCTGCCGATAGTAGGAGCCTTCGTCTTCGTCTTCGCGCGACAGTATTCCTTTCTCTTGCTCTTTTCCTCTTTCTCTCCTCTTCTTTTTATCTCTCTCTCTCTCTCTCTCTCTCTCTTCAACTGACCCACGTTGATGCGATTGATAGAAACTTTCACTGAATTTTGGCTGTCGCTGACGCGTTCAATGATGGCGAGATCAGATACTTATATTTTTATTCCTTTATCAACTAACTCGTCTTTTCGTTCTGTCACAAAGGCATCGTGTTGTGTTTACACGTCCATTACATTACACTGGAACGTGGTGGCGTAATGTAGAAAGTTAAATCGCGACGCACAAATATATACATGAATTTGAACTCGGAATAATAAATAAAGTATTGAATATTCATATATTCTGATTTGAGTTACTTTTCTTAGAATTAGATACATATTTATACAGTTAACTACTTTATAATTCCTTTATATTATTAGCGACAACGTGGCTTTTCCAATTTTGTGGTGGGAAAATTTTTCTCCACGCTGCGATTGGAGAACAAAACCATATTGCTCGGTTAATTTCTCAAGGGATTTGGCTCTAATGAATATTTAATTAAGGATTTGATTGCAACCCCAATATAAATAGGTCAA